TCGCTGCTGCCGCTGCTGCTGCTGGGCGCCCCGGGGCTGAGCCTGCCCTCGGGGGGTCCCCCGGGGGACACCGAGGTTGTCACCCCCCTCCGCCTGGACCCCGACATCAACGGGAGACCTTACTTCAAGCGGGGTCCCGCCGAACCCCCCCGGGGAGGGCAAGCGGTGGTTTTCCAGCTCTCGGCTTTCGGGGAGGATTTCTACCTCCATCTCTCCCCCGATGCCCATTTCATCGCCCCCGCCTTCGCCGCCCATTACCTGGGGGTCGCGCCCGGCGCCGCCCGCCCCCTCCCCGGTCTCCGCCATTGCTTTTATTCGGGGGATGTCAACGCCGATCGGGAATCAGCCCGCTGGCCGGGGGGGCGGCCGGGGGAGCCCACCGCCTGCAACGCCGCAGCCCCGGCCGCCCCGTCGGGGTCGGAGCATCCCGCTGTGCCGTGGGCTCCGGGCTCACCCCCGGGGTGCTGCAGGCGTTGGACAAGTACCGGGGACGTGGCGGGGGGAAAGGGAGTCGGGCCAAGCGCTTTGCCTCGGTCCCTCGTTACGTGGAGACCTTGGTAGTGGCCGACGAGTCGATGGTGAAGTTCCACGGGGATGACCTCCAGCACTACCTGCTCACCCTGATGGCCACGGCCGCCCGCCTCTACAAGCACCCCAGCATCCGTAACCCCATCCAGATCTCCGTGGTCAAGTTCCTCCTCATCGGGCAGGATGACAAGGGGCCCAAGATCACCGGCAATGCCGCCCTCACCCTCCGCAACTTCTGCGCCTGGCAGAAGAAGTGGAACAAGGTCAGCGACAAGCACCCCGAGTACTGGGACACCGCCATCCTCTTCACCAAGCAGGTGGGTGCAGGGGGGCTGACCCAGAGGGGCTGTCCCCAATTTCAAGGAGCCCTGCACCGAGCTAAGGCCTCCTGCCACCTGCGCCCCGCCTCTGGTGCACACCGGAGGAGATCGCGCTTGTGTCCGATCCCCCTTTCCCAAGGGACACTCCACCCTCAAATGCCAGGGCAGGGGGGAGCAGAGGTGTGGAGCAAACCTGCTTGAGCCAGCCCTTGCTGTCCTCTGGGCAGGTTTTGGCCAGCAGCCCGGGGAAAGCCCTGCCAGGGGGGTGAGCGAGGCCAGGAGGTATGCAAAGGCAGGTTCCCATGGGCAGAAACCTGCTGCTCCATCCCCTGCCTGCTGGCAGGAGCCTCAGCAGCCCCAAAACGCGGGGTCTGAGCCCAAAAGAGGAGGAGTGCAGCCCCGCTTCCCCCTCCCCAGCTGGGAAGAGCTCACTGTGCCACCTGCCAAGAAAAAAACCTCTCCCCGCTTCCTCTGACTCACGGCCCTCCTGAGAACCTGGACCTCTCCTCTACACGTTGGCTGCTCTGCGTGGACTCAGTTCAGGGCTGGAAGAAAAGCACTGGAGATACAGCCAGCGCTTGCAGCTCTTTTTGGGGGGAAGGCCAGAGTCTCCCCCACCACTGCCGTGAGCTGGCTGCATCCCTGCGGTGGGAGAGGGGCTTTGCCGAGCTGCCTTTTGCTCACCTTTGGCTATGCTGGGTGATTGCTGCACCAGGGTGAGGTCTCCATCCTCCCATCCTTATAAAGTGGGTGACACCGAAGCGGTGACACTGCTCCCAGAGCCTTCCCCAAAATTCTCCTCCTCTTCCTTCTGGTCCTGTCGGTGCGGTGCCTGGCTACGGAGTTTTATAGCCTGCACCCCCAAATTGCTAACGGGAGGGGAGAAGGACGAGCCCAGTTTGAAGGCGACTGTCACATTTTACCAACTTGTGTTTTCTCCTTCCCCCATCCCTGCCCAGATGTTTTTGGATTAGGGACAGGTCAGGAACTCCCCTCAACAGCAGGGAGACCATTCCCAAAACATCTTTCCAGGTCAAGCACTTGTGGGTGGGAAGGATATAGCGTCCAGCTCGGTTCAGCCGCCCCTAGCCTGGGGTCAGCGCTGGCTGATGACGGCCCGGACCAGGAACGATGCTGTGCAGGACGTGTGAGACCTCGTCCTACCCGTTCTCCCCTTTCCCCCCACCCTGGGCAGGGGCCGTGTCCTCCGGCCGGCTGTAAATCCTGCCGGAGCACAGGCAGGGTTGAACCCCAGCCTGCTGGAGCAGCTCCTGCCTGCTCGGGGCGGCTGCAAAGAGGAGGAAGCTTGCTGACACCCCTGCGGGGACGAGCCAGCTCCATCTCTGGTGGAAACCCGGTGAGGTCACCGGAGCCGCACGTGGGATGGATTCGGTCCCAGCAATTCGAAAGCTGCGGATCACGGCCGGGCTGCATTTTTTACACATTGCTAAACCATCCATTCCTGAAATCCCAAAGCAAGCTCGGTGCAAAGGCACACGATTGAGGAGACATCTGCCTTCCTTGAGTGCATCCATCTGTGGTCCCCTGACACCCCGGAGCTTATCTCCCTGCCAAAAAGCTGTTACATAAGCCCCCGACTTAAATTTCATCTCAAGCCTGGTTGATAGGCAGTTTCCAGTTGTGTCAACGAGTTGCTGATGAATGGGGCTGTCCTCTCCTGCTCAGCTTTGCTCCCTCCCGATGTCGGTCGTGCTGGATTGCGGATTTGCCTTTGGGGAGCTCGGTCCCGCTCAGCCAGTGGGTGCAGATCTGCCAGCAACCAGAGCCATGGGACCTTCACTTTCCTACCTGAGCTGGTGCTTGCTGGAGGCTCCTGCAGAGCATCCAACCTTCAACCACACTCCTGCCTCGTGGAAATAACATCGCACACCACGACAAAGGGCTTGGCCAAGCTTCCCAACCATCCTGAACCTTGACGTCCCACCAGCAAAGGTCTGCTGAACATCTTTGGCCTGCTGTAAAACTGAAGGGACGTCTCACCAAGGAACGTCTGGCTGTAGCCTAGCATGCAGCAGATGCTGCGGGGAATTTGGAAACCCACGCTCTGTAGCTCAAAGCTCAGATTTTCAGGGTTGCTTTCGACACACATAGGAAGCCTCAATGGTAGGGAGAGTGCTTATGAGCTGGCCTCTAAGTAGGCAAATTAATGCACTAGCCACAAGGATCCCACCCAACTGACCTGCAGAACATCTCGAGGAGTTCGCAATAGGATGAAGAAGTGCCCACAGATGAAGGTCAGGCTAGCAGGAGAGCCTTGATGGTGCACCGAGCAGGTTGCTTGCAGCCCCTCGGCGTGGTGCGAGGGGCACCGGGCGTCCTCCCTTTATTTGGGCTGGCAGCGGGGGCTATCAGTGATGGTGAGCACACTGTGCAAAGGCAGAGCTGGCTCTTTGCATGCTGCTTTCCCACCTTAAACCTCTTGCATTTTTCTCTCCTCCCCTCCGTAGCTCCATCCTTGCACCGCTGCTTGCGTTGCCTCTCCTCCTGAGCAGGCTGGACCCTGGGAAAGCTGGAGGAGATCTTTCGGGAGGGTCAGAACCCATCATCAGAGCCCAGGGATGCTGCCCAGCCTTTCAAAGTGGGCTGCCCCTAGCAGGCTGTGGCTGGGGGGTTAGGGAAAACCCCGTCAAGAGCCGCTTGTTCATGTATCCCCGCAGCCGGCAGGCGAGGTTCAGAGTGAGAAGTCGGTCAGTGTGTCAGTGCAGGTGTTGGGCCGGGAGCCAAAAGCTCGCCGCGCCAGCGAGGAAACGGCAACTCTTCAAAGAGCAGTGAGCAGGGAGCTGCGAGCGGCCGCCTCTTCCCTGTGATGCTGTGTCGTCCCCCCTGCGCCCCACCTTCACCCCCAAGCCCCCAGAGCTGGGACTGCACAGGCAGGGGAGCTTGGGCAAGCTGCATCCCCAGGTTGGCTCAGTGTGGCAATGGCACTGGCTCTTGGTGGCATTCTGGGACAGGGCACCCTGTGCTGGGGCTTGCCAGCCCCATTGAATCACCCTGCACTCACCAGCGGTGGCCCTGCCGCCGGGGATGCAGGGTTGCCACCTGCTTGTCCCTGCCAGTATCGATGCACAGTGGGATCAGGGATGCAGCAGGGTCCCAGCCAATATGGAAAACTGTTGCAGAGCAGAGAGCTGAACCCAGTTGTATGACGGGGTTTTCCACCAGCTGCAATAGCCGGCCCAGACCCAGGCATTTCTCCGCCTCGCCTCTCCAGAGATCACAATCTTGTCTGTGCCTCCAGACTTCATAGCCACAAGTCTCCTGTTAAAGCCATCGCAGCCCTGGCCGGGGCTCTCTGAAGTCGTCAGGACTGTTATTTACCCACGGCTGAACCTGCCTGCGCGGGAATGCCTTCAGCTTGGAAACCTCGCTGGAAATGTTGGCAGAGCCGCTCATGCAAGGTTTTGAGCAACCCAGGCGCTTTGGCTGGGCAAGCGCTGAGCATGAATCATGCTTATTTATAGCCTGGGAGCGCCCGGTGCGTCCCTTACGTTTTCTTTTCATGTGGAAAGCTGCTCCTTGCCCCCTGCACGGCCTCCCCTGAGGCTCCCAGCCCAGCTGGAATGGCGCCGAGGGATGGGGACGATGTTCCAGCCCTCCCAAGGCACCGAGAGACCCCAGGAGGGGAAGGGGGCATCCGAGGACAAGGCCACTGCTAGACTGCAGTGGCAGCGGATCTTCAAACAGGGACTTTTTATTTGCACAAATGCCTTCGGATCCTGAAGAAGGACAGATCCACCTACGATGGGACCCTTCCCATCCTCTGTCCTGGCTGCATCTACGTGGGGTCCAGCAGTCCTTGTGTTGGGGGTGGAAGGCTGGGCTGGTTCCTCCTTCAATCTGGGCTTGGTTGCTCCTCAAGGGACATCTGTAAAATGTCTTGGAGAGACAGGAGCACTTCCCTTAACCTTGGGAACCTCTGGACCTGGTCCAGGGGCTTCTTGTTCCTAGGAACAAGTTGAGAAATGAGGTTGAGAAACGGCTTACCTGTGAGCCCAAGGCCAGGTGCCTTCCCGTCCACCCGCCTGCGTCTGGTCCTTGAGCTCACGTTGAAGAACAGAGCCAGGCTGACTCCTCTGTGCCAAAACCGGCTCCACCCTGCCTGGTGGAGCCATTCGGGTGGGAAAGGCTGTCGCTGAAGGCACGGAAGGATGCTACACACAAAAAGCATCCCCGGTGCCAGAGTTAAATGCAAACACATCGTTGCAGGCTGGTCCGGGTCAGGGTGAGGTTTCCTGCCTCCACAGCCTGGTGCAGTCCCCAGCCCTGTGGGTTGCCTCCCCCCAGCACCCTGGGATCAGCTCCCCATGGGGTACCGGGGATGGGGTGCGGATGGGGAACCGCGATGCCCGTGCTGGCCCTGGGACTAACCCCTTGCTTCCGTGCCTTGCAGGACCTGTGCGGTGCCACCACCTGCGACACGCTGGGGATGGCGGACGTGGGCACCATGTGCGACCCCAAGCGCAGCTGCTCCGTCATCGAGGACGATGGGCTGCCCTCGGCTTTCACCACTGCCCACGAGCTGGGTAAGGCTCCCTGCTCTCCCCATCCTGTTGGGAGGAATGCCAGGGGCTGGCAAGATTCAAAATAGCCCTGGTTTCAGCCTCCGGAAGATCAGACAATAACCGGTATCCGGTGATGGGGAAACTCCACCTCGGGGCATGAGACCCCCCCGAGCCGGGTGGGAAAGAGCTGCTGAGAAAGCAAAAGGCTTTGCTGTTGTGGTTGCTACCTTGGCTTGGTTTCCAGGATTCGGGAGTCCTGAAATAACAGGCGGAGGGCACACCTACCTCCGGAGACATTTGGGGAGGAGGAGGAGGGGGGGGGAGTGAGTGCTGAATCTCCTTCTCTTTGCAACTTCCTTCGTCCTTCCTTTCCACTGATGGCCATGCACGAAGCAGCCGGGACAGCGTGCCAGAAAGTGCTCTGGCTTGGGGATGCCACCAGCAAGGTGGCTCGCATATGCCAGTCCTGCAAGCTCCTCATGTCTGTGTGTGGCCCGAGTCAGAGTGTGCGTGAGCATCGTCCTTCTCCGGGTGTCTCCTGGGCTGTACAATCCTTGCAAGGGTCTGCCCCACTCCGTGCCTCAGTTTCCCCCATTTCAAGAAGCTGGGGGGGCCCTAATCTGCATGCCAAGAGGGGTTATTCATGCTGTCCCCCCTTACCTCCCCCCCAGGCCACGTCTTCAACATGCCCCATGACAACGTGAAGGCCTGTGAGGAGGTCTTTGGTCGGCTGAAGACCAACCACATGATGTCCCCCACCCTCATCCAGATCGACCGTGCCAACCCCTGGTCAGCCTGCAGCGCTGCCATCATCACCGACTTCCTCGACAGCGGCCACGGTGAGCCCTCCTGCACCCCTCACCCTCTTACCTGTGTCCCTGCCCCATAGGAGCAGGATCCATCCCTGGGGCTGGTTACTGGGAGAGGCTGATGGGCTGTAGAGCAACTCTTCTCCCTCCTCTGCAAAGAAAGTTAGAAGGAAATGGGGAGTTTGGTGGTGTTTCTGCATCGGCCAGGCTTCCTCAGTGCTAGGGTGTCCCCAGCAGACTGCCAGCACAGTTCTACCCAGTGTCACCAAGAGATGGAGTCGCTTGGGTCTGGGATGCAGCTGACCTCAAGGGCATCCCTGGGGTAGCACCTTGGTCCCTCTGGCAGTGTGCGACTGGGATAGTTTTGGCCAAGTTACCGGCAGCCATCCCTCACCTCCCCGCAGCGATGCTCTTCCTCCCCACACTGGTCCATACAACCCCCCAAGGACCCGGTAGACCCCCCCCATCCCTGCTCCTGCAGGAGACTGCTTGCTGGACCAGCCTGCCAAACCCATCCCGCTGCCCGAAGACCTGCCGGGGACGAGCTACAGCCTGAACCAGCAATGCGAGCTGGCCTTCGGCGTGGGCTCCAAGCCCTGCCCGTACATGCAGTATTGCGCCAAGCTCTGGTGCACGGGCAAAGCGCGCGGGCAGATCGTCTGCCAGACCCGTCACTTCCCCTGGGCGGACGGCACTGGCTGCGGTGAAGGCCGCTTCTGTTTGAAGGGTGCCTGCGTTGAGAGGCATAACATCAGTAAGTACAGGGTGAGTACCTGCGCCGTGAGCCCAAAGACATCCCGCGGGGTCGCCCTGAGTTTTTGCAAGGGTGCTGGCTGAGCAGTCCCCTGCCTCCTGGTGCTGGGGACCCGGCAGGGGACACCGATGTGAAAAGAGCTGGAGGTCCTTTGGGTATTGCATATTTCTCAAGGAGGGATGCTGCTGCTCAGCTCCATCCAGCCCTGGGCAGGTTTGGGGGCAGCCGCCAGAGGTTTTGCTTGTGAAGGCATGGCTCCGAGTCTGGAGAGCCCCTGCTCGGGATGGAACTGGCAACGAAGGGGACGCAGCATCTCACCCTGCCACATCCCTGCAGGTGGATGGCGGCTGGGCGAAATGGGCGCCCTATGGGCAGTGCTCGCGGACGTGCGGTGGAGGGGTGCAGCTGGCCAAGCGGGAGTGCGCCGACCCGGTGCCTGCCAACGGGGGCTCCTACTGCGAGGGCGTCCGTGTCAAGTACCGCTCCTGCAACCTGGACCCCTGCCCTGCTACAGGTAAGGGGCTGGAGCTCAGCTTGCTTGTGATTGTGTGCAATGACCTATAACAACCCCATAAAACCAGTGCTGGAGTTCCAGGCTGATCCCCAATCCCATGCACATCCCCATTTTTTCCAGTGCCGGGGAAAAGCTTCCGTGAGGAGCAGTGTGAGGCTTTCAACGGCTACAGTCACAGCACCAACCGCCTCACCGCCTCCGTCTCCTGGGTCCCCAAATATTCCGGCGTCTCACCCCGGGATAAATGCAAGCTCATCTGCCGGGCTAACGGCACTGGCTACTTCTATGTGCTGGCACCCAAGGTTGGTGAGGGACCCCTGGGGTCAGCATCTGGGCTGTAGGGTGACTCCAGCATGCCTAGAAACGAATGAATTTTCCTTATCTGGTGGGCAGCTGGTGTTAAATGAGATTATGGAGGAGGGGAATCCATCGGGCTGATATGAATCAGCATGTGTGTGCCCGCTTATTTATTTCAGGGCTGGAGTTGGTCTGTGGAGGGTTTTCCTCTGGGTTTGTAAAGGTACCTCTGGGATATGCCCATGGTCCTGAAATAGAGGATGATAATTACAGTGCTGGGGAAGCGATATGTGTGCCAGACAGAGTGGGCGGCCAGGCGCGGGGTGATGTTAGCTCTCTCCCCAGTGCAGCCTGTTCCCTTTGCACCGATGCAGCAGAAAGGGCAGAAAAAGATACAGATGCAGCAGAAAAGGGATGTAGTCCCATCTGTCTCTTCTCAGAGATCCTAAAAATCCTGACTGCAAAGCAGAGGATGAGCAAAGGGCGACATGGTACCTGCTAGCATCTCCTCAGGACCTGTTGGATGGATTCGGGTAGCCCCGGGTTTGATGGCCGCAGTCAGGGGTGTTTGTGGGGTACAGGGGAACGCAGCAGCTTGTTTTGCTCACCCTCGTGCAGGTTGTGGATGGCACCCCTTGCTCCCCAGACTCCACCTCAGTCTGCGTCCAGGGCAAATGCATCAAAGCTGGCTGCGATGGGAAGCTGGGCTCCAAGAAGAAGTTCGACAAATGCAGTGTCTGTGGAGGAGACAACAAGAGCTGCAAGAAGGTCTCGGGCTTGTTCACCAAACCCATGTAAGTGTTAGGGGACCACGCATGCTTCCCCCTCTCCCAGCTCTGCTTTTTGGGGTGGATGCAGGAAGGTGGTAGAGATGGTGATGGGGGCTAAGTCCACTCTGAGCAAACTCTCCTGGTGCCAGTGTATGTCCCTGCATGGAGACCTGGGCTGGCCCTGAGGGAGAAGCAGGACACATTTAACATGCTGTTGGCTTCTGCTGATGGAGTTATCTCTGGTACATCCGTACTGTTGAGCCAGAGGGACTGAAGCATCTTCTCATATCTGGGTGATCCCAGACTAGACAAAACTCAGCGCAGGAAGGAGATTCAAAATTATCTTCACGGGGAGGAGGAGATAACCGTAAGGGTGGGAAGATCTCAGGGCTGTAGCTGCAGAGCTTTGGGCCGAGGCCACGTCGTAGCGTGATGTCCCCTGCCTGACGGCCTGCCCTGCCTGCTCTTCTCTTCCAGGCATGGCTACAACTTCGTGGTGGTCATCCCCGCGGGCGCCTCCAACATTGACATCAGGCAGCGGGGCTACAAAGGGCTGATCAGCGATGACAACTACTTGGCGCTGAAGAACGGGCAGGGCAAGTCCCTGCTGACCGGCCACTTCATCGTCTCGGCTGTGGAGAGGGACCTGATGGTGAAAGGCAGCGTTCTGCGGTACAGCGGCACCGGCACCGCCGTCGAGAGCCTCCAAGCCTTCAAGCCCATCCAGGAACCCCTGACTTTGGAGGTACTCTCGGTGGGGAAGATGACCCCTCCTCGGGTACGCTACTCCTTCTACCTCCCCAAGGAGAGCAAGGAGGACAAGTCCTCCTACAAGAAGGAGGGCAAGACCCCACCGGACCTCAACAACAGCGTCCTCAGCCTGTCCAACCGCTTGGACAGTGGGAGACCAAGCTACAAGCGTCCCTCCTACAAGTGGGCAGCGGGCGGCTGGGAGGCTTGCTCCGTCACCTGCGGCGATGGGTTGCAGAAGCGTTCGGTGGCTTGTCGCGACTCCTACGGCCAACCGGCCGCCGAGTGTGATGCGGCACAGCGGCCGGCCGATGTCCGGCTGTGCGGGGAGCCCTGCCCAGCGTGGGAAGCTGGACCTTGGTCTCCCTGCTCCAAGAGCTGCGGTCGGGGTTTCAAGAGACGGGCGCTGAAGTGCTTGGTACCGACCGGGCGCCTGCTGCCCCGGGAGAGTTGCAATTTTCGGAGGAAGCCACAGGAGCTGGATTTTTGCACCTTGAGGCCATGCTGAGCAGGTCAAGGGGTGTCTGTGAGGAAGGGCATGGTGTTTCTCTGGCTGGATGTGGCCGAGCAGCAGCCAGGGCTTGGGAGAGGGGGAGATGTCCATAGCACATATCAAACAGGGGGAAAAAAAAGAAAAAAATGGGGGGAAAAAAGGGACCTGGGTATGGGGACAGAGCACGCACGCCCCATGTGCCCAGGAGAGATGGATTTTACCGACCAGGTCGCTTGGAGACAGAGTGGGAACGAACATCTACCTCGAAGCCGCCGAACGACGCAGAAACCCACCGGTGGAGGCTGGGATTCGGGGAGGGGGACAGATGGAAACAAGGGGCATTGCTGCCCGGAATGGACCTGAGGACAGGCAGGGGGATGCCCCTAAATTGCACAGTCAAAGCCTTCCCAATATTCCCAGGGCCAAGCCTACCTCCCCTCTCCCTGCACTCCCCCAACACTTGTGCTAAATGGGACCAAAAAGGACTTACCAATGCAAAGATGGCAAATTATACTGTCCAACCACCGGTGCGACGAGACATTGGGCCTGATGCCTCCAGGGCTCACTGGTGATGACTTTGCAGCCCAGGCAGTCCGGAGAGCCCTAGCAGCATCACCAGCCAGGCTGGAAGGTGGTGGCTTTGTTTTTGTTTTCTCCTCATGTTTATGACCTGACCAGTGTAGATTTTATGGTGCTTAACTCTGTATTTTTTTTAACCTCCTTCCTTCCCTGCCGATGGATGTAAACCTTGTAGTGGGGATGGCATTATTACCAGTGGGCTCTCTCACCTGGCTGAGGTTTTCCTATGGTGCTTTGGGATGGGGCTGTGCTGGCATCTAGCGCGTAGCTGGATGCTCCTTTACACCCCGGTCCAGGGCAGGTTGTAAACTGCCCACCTGAAATTTTTCAGGGCTAGAAGGGATCACTACGGACCTGAGATTTGGGTTGTCGTTCCAAAAAAGCAACAAACAACTGTACTGTAGTACCACGGCGCGGTGCCATACGGGGTCAGACACAGCCCCGCGAGTCGCTGGTACTTGACTCCGCTCTGGAAAAGGTGCTCGCTGATTAATGGGACCAGTATGCCATGCCCAGACATCCCACTGCCCTCCAACCTTTGGGCCTGGTTGGGTTATTTGTCCTCTTCGTTAAGCCCCCCTGAGATATCCTGAGCTGAACTCTAGCGAAGCTGGTGGAGCTGGGGTGACATTCCCAGCATCGCTTTTGAGCTGCAGGAGCAGAAGATAAATTTGGGTCTTGGTTTTTCCTGGAGGAAAGGGGCTCAGCGGGGTTCAGGTGTGCAGGGAAAGAAGGGGGAATTGAACCCCTTGCTGCTGGAGAGCATCTACAACAAGTTTCCCCCGCCCAGGGTTTTGTGAAAGGGTTTATTTGGTATCTCTGACGGTCATGTAGCATCATGCCTGTTGTGGTCGGAGGCTGTCTTACCTCACACACCGCTCTCTTCCCAACAACCCTTTAACACATCATTTATGTCTCTTGCTCAGATCCTACCATCAGGGACCATTTCTTTTTTTTTTTTTTTTTTTTGCTTTTCCACTGATAAAGGTGCCTCTTAATATACTAGCTGTGACTGTGAGCGAGCCAGAGTCTCTTGGTCAAGCTATGCAGTTATTGGGATCAGCAGAGAGGGACCATGGGGATGATTCACAGATTACGGGTAGGCAGAAGATACTGTCTCAGCAGCTAGAGGCTTGGAGCCTACCTTGCTTGCTCGGTCCCACGCAGGTATAGCGCGGAAACTCCTTGTGCCCTTTGGTCTGCTCCAAAAATGTCTCCAGCTGTGGGCAAGGCAAGAAGGATCACAAGAAACAGGACAGCGGTAGCACAAGGGTTTCCTTGCTAGACCTTTCCACCAGCTTAGCAAACTCCTCGTGACAATGTTTGTGGACCCATCCTCCCTGGATTTATGTAACGCCTTTTTGAACACAATAATATTTTGGGTCTCCACGCTGCTCGGCAGAGCCAGGAACAGATGTTGTGGTTGCTCTGCACAGCAGGGGATGGGATTTAATGTTCTAGGAAATCCCTTCCAGGTCTCCATTCCCATGAACGTATCATCCATTTTTGGAGGGTTTTCCTGCGTAGCCGAGCCTGCCGCGCCTTCGTTTGGGGACAGAGCTCCGAGGGGCTGCCCTTTTGTGTCTTGCCATCCAACAGATGGTTTCCAAGCCACCGAGAAATCATCACCCTTGTTCACGGCGGGGGGGAGGGATGGGGCGGGAGGGATTTCTTGCGTGCAGTTCTTTTGCCGAGCGTGCAGCAAAAGGACAGAGATGCCGATCGTACTGGCTGCTTTGTGTATACCATGTATACTAAACATCGATCTCTGCTGTTTGTGCATCAATAGCAAACCTGAAATAAAATTGTATTTAAAGTTACACCTGGTTCCCCAGGGGATGCGGTCGTGCCCACGTCATTTAGTTGGTGATTACAGAGCGTTTCTTGTCTTATTGTGATCCTGGCCTTTTTCAAGCCTCAACTCATTAATTGAAGAAAAAAAACCCCAAACCCCAAACTTTGAAAGCCTAACAGGTTTATTCTGACTTGCTTCTGCTACAGGGTTTTATTGGAAAAAAAAAAAAAAACCAACAAAAAAAACCAAACAAAAAACAACCCAGCCTGAAGAAGCCCAGTGGTGGATTAGTCCGTGCAAGCCCTGGGGCTTGCCTGCACCAGGATGTTAAATGCATGAGGCTGGTTTGCTTTAGCCTGAAATCAGGATGCTCTTTTACCAGGATAACAGCAACATAGAGTTAAACAGGTTACTGTAAACTGGAACAGCACTCTCATATCCTGGAACAACTGTGTCCACACATATAATTTTCCAAGATCATCCCTTCCCGACGTGCTATTCCAGAGTCATCTGCTCCGTATGCGGACAAAGCCTCAGTCTCAGCCCCTTTTCACATCACCTTCGGATGGTCCAGGAAAAGCGAGGTTAGCTTTACAGCCGAGCCGACCCGACACAGTTGCAGCATTACTGGATGCCCGGAAAACAGCGCACGTTCCTCCTGCCGATTCCCAGCACACCCTCCCCGAGTCAGAGCCCTCTTTCCTGGTTACATCGGGGCCAACGGTGAGATAAAGCCCTGCCCTTTCATGGGACACGTCTGCCTGATGTCACCCCCTCCAGCTCTCAACAGATTGCCCGGTATTTTATTCCCCCTCCCCCTGCCCCCCAGCAAATATGATTTTTTTCCCTGCTATGTTGTAATGATTTGGCAAGTTTAATATGTTTTGTTGTGGGGCAAGTTCGCTTTGCTTTTCAGTACTGTAAAGAAACAAACACGACAGACCTGACCGAGCACCTTCCCCCTCGCCAGCTCCTACAGAGAAATAAAGGATTGATCTCCCACGCCTCTCCCCACAAGAAAGTTCAGTTTCAGCCCAAATACATCCCACACTGCAAAGGCTCCAGCTGCAAACAGCTTTATTAGGAACAGAAAGGGAGATTTCCACCTGGCACAATACCCCGTGCCATAACTTTCCCCTTGAGTATCTGTTCAGGAGCAGAAACCAATGCCTTGCTCCTCCAACACCGGGTGACAGCCATGTTTTTAACCAGGTGCCCTTAAAAATCACCCAGAGAGACAGGAACCCACACAAGCCCCAAGCGTATACCTGGTAAGGAAGGAAGAAACCAAGCGCCGATGCCAGAAACTACCACTCAAAGGAAGGCTGGTGTTTAGCCAGGTCATGGTCCATTTGCTCAGGGCTCTTTGTAACAGGAAAGCCGGCGGTGATTTAATGGGGCTGAGCCAAACACCGACACCTGGCACCAGGCGGGTGACACAGGTGATGTCCCGCATCCGTATCAAGCCTGAAGCCGCAGGAATAGGCTCCCGGTGAAAGAGAAATGATAAGGAGCATCATGTGCTGTCTCCAAGAGCAGTAAGTAGCTTTTCCCAGAGTCATGAGATGCTGTCACCAACGACTCTTGGGCTTCTTAGTTTTCTGACACTGAAAGATTTTGTGTTTTGCTTCCCTTCACTGTGAATTTTTCTTCTTTGCATTTTCTGATACCTAATAAAAGGCTGAGCCGGCTGCTTTTTGCTTCAGGGGACACTGATGCATCTTCATCTGCATCCTCCAGCTCCCCTAAATGTGAAGGAAACCCATAGCTTTGAAACCTCAGCTTTGCTGTGCTTAAAATGGGGTTAAAAAGAGCCAGAGAACTGAAAGTGGCAGACTGATGGGCCTG